TTGTAATACCATTTTTTTTAATCACAAAATATCACAAATATGTGATTAAAAAAAATTATATGCTTGTACTCGTATTCTAATTGATTCATAACAAACCCTATTAAAGGAAATTAACGATTTCTTTTCGTTTAATTATAAATATCCACATAGGTACAAATATACATATATATACATAAAATAACATTTAATTAACATATTTGCAATAAAAAGAATTATAACTATTAAATTCGCCAGCAAAATATTTTTTATAGCTGCAGATATTGTGATAATAGTAAAGCAAATTTTATACGAAACACATTTTTAAATACAGTACTATTTCGCTTAAAGTCGTTTTTGGAATCGAAAATGCACGACGACTTCAAGAAAATTCAAAACGATGTTCATACCCATAATTTTTAAATAAGAAAAATCAATTTAGAATTTTTGAGAAATTTTAATGAATTAAATTGTGTTTAAAAATTTTAGAATTTTATATATTCGGCACCGGTAGCCCGGAATTTTTTATTATATCATATATATGTACTAGCTCCTTTTTCTCCGGGAACACTCCTAGATCACAATCCTCGGCCAAAGAGCTTACCGCGGGCAGTGATGCCTTAAAAAAAAACTGCTGATCGTTTAAGGTCGAGCCCCAAAAAAAGGAAAACAAAATCGTCTACATATACAACCGCCCTGAATGTCTCAAATCAAATATCACCAGAATCTCATGCAAGATCTTAAGCTGCAACAACTAAAAGAAAAACCAGTCCTGAGGCCTAATACTGTACTGATATAAATATATATTAAAACATCTAAGAATTTTAACAATTGCATTTATTTTGTCAGAAAGTTGTTAATTTATATCAATTAAATTGATATAAATTATGTATAATAGTTTGCATATCGTAATAAGTCTTATGCATTATATTAATAAAATTATTAATTTAATTTATAAGCTGAAAAAAAAAATAAGTGTTCATTATCGTTTTATACTAATTATTGTAATTAAATTCAGTTTAAATTTAAAAATAATTTTTATTAGTTTCACACTATCTGTCCGTTCATTTCAAAATCGAAAATTGAATTTAAAATTTGAAAATTTTAGGTCAATCATTGTTCTAGAAACTACTAGAAGACTTACATATTTCCTATTTAAAAATTACTTTTAAATTTCCCCCTAATCATATATGCAATATTATAATAAAGTAAGAGAAGAATTTTGACACATACATATGTACATAGAATGATGTAAAGATTTATCATCAACTTGAAGCTATTTAGGTTTAGCATACTTATTTAAATATGAAAATATATATTCTAAAATTAAAATATTATCAGAGGAATGTGCTATTTTGAAAACTATTGGTTTGATTTTTGTGTAAAAACACCCAAAAATATTGTGTGTTTATTAATAATCAGTGCATGTTTTAAAATTTATCGCACTATATTCAAACCAACTGAGCTTTATATACATAAATGTACTATATACAATAAATGACAAGAATAATATTTATAAGAAAAACAAAAAAAAAAAGAAATAAGTATAAAATTGAAGAGTTCATTTGTTGTGTGTACCCAATAGATTTGAAACCGATGCGGGCAAAATTCTTTTTCCCTCATTCCTATATATTTATCTTCGTTTTTTTTTCTATATACGAGTATAATCAAAGGAAATGAAGTAGAAAATCAACTCATCAAAATTTTGTTTTTATTTTTATGTTTCCTCATAGTTACTTTATTATTTACTTTCACTTTTATACATTTATATTTAGAGTATTTGCAATCCTTTGAGTCCTTATACCATATATATATATACAATATATAAAATGTCATAATAATCCTGCTGTTACGGAGTATATAACGAGTGTGTATATAATTGTATAAATGAAGATACTATTACTTAAGTTATAACATATTTTTTTTGTTACTTTTGTTTGTTTTCCTTATACTCGTATTTTCTGTTGATTTTCTTATGTATTTATGATTTCTTTCTTATTTTAGTATTACAAACAGTTGTTTAATATATTCATATACTTACATACGTATTATGTTATATTCAAATAGATTATTTTTTTGGTTGATTACTTTTATATAGTATATAATATCTGCCCAAAAAAAAAAAATAGTTTAACCGGAAGAATTGTCTTAAATTACAGTTTAAGTTTATTTTGTTTTTGGGTTTTTTTTCCAGATTTTCGGATGGATAATGAATTTTTTCATTAAATATTTACATACATATATACAAATTTATAACATGTTTTTCTCATATATATATATATATATATTATATACGTAATATAACTAATATACTTACATATTCATTAATTTGCACACATATGGATAATAAAACAAATGAATATTTATTATAAAATGATAATATAATGAAGGATACAAGTATATTATTAGTTTAATATGTACTCATGTTATAACATATAATAATTCTGTATAATAATAATGTAAAAAACCTATATAAATATACATAACGTGTATATTCATATTTAATTCTTATTTAACAAAACACATAAGATTATCTCTTAGTATAAATATTAAGGAAATTGTAATTTGATTAAATTATTTTGATATTATAAACGCTAGGTATATACATATGTATGTTCATTTGCTGTTGTTTTCTGTTTCTTTTCTCATTATAATAAGAATAAAAATGAGTGTTTTAATATTCTAATGCTATAATATTAGTTATGCCATATCGCTTTTGGATTATAATAGAAAAACAAAATAATTCTTAATATTATAACATTAAGGATTACAAATTTAGAAAATATCACAGAATTTAAATTATTTAATTATGGTATTTTTATGAAACACATATACTTAATACTATTTATCAAAATTATAGTTATACTGTATAATATAATAAATGTAAGGTATAAGACACCTCACCGGTAGTATGGTAGAACATCTGAACATAATACATTGTGTATATAAATACTGAGAATTTTATTTTTGTAATAAATTGTGGTCAAACCAATGATATTTAAGTTAGTAAATTTTTTTCTATTCAGCAATTTAAAATCACTTAACGGTACATGGTGTTTTTTATTGCATTACAAATTCTCTCAGTATCGGATATTTTCCTAATTCGATTCAGAGAGAGAATATAAATTGATTCAAAAGCAAATTATTGTTTAACATTACATTACAGGCATGTAATTACGTCAGTAATACACATTACAGGCATAATAATATATTTTACTTTTCTATTTTTATATAGAAATTCTTAAATTAAACCTATAATTTCAAGGAAATTAATATAGCTCAAAATTAATATTTTATTTGGGAAGGCTTGGGAGATAATAATTTCTTCATATATATAAAACTATTAAAATTTCTACAAATTATATAAAAACATGCGACTCCTAATCAACTTATCGTCTACAGAGCAAAAATTGTACAAATATAAATATTAAAAGTTTAAAAAAAAATATTATATATGAATTCAAAATTATTTTTCTCTAACATTAATTATAGCGAATATTCATTTTTAGTGAAAACAGTTATGATTTTTATGAAATCAACAAATTTAATATAATAATATATTTATGAATGAAAATTCAAAAATCAATTATTACAAATATATCCAAAATAAATAGTGTATAATATTAATATAAAATATTCCTTTGTAAATTAAAATATTTAAATATTTTATATTGAAAATATTTCCTTATTAATATTAATATATATTTACTAAATAAATGATTTGTTCATTTAGTTTTAATTTTTGAAATTATAAAGCATACATACATACATATTATGTATAAAATATTTTCTTATAATATAAAAATTTTTTTACCTAAATTTATTCTATTATAATATGTTCAAAATATTTTAGAAAATAAGAATTTCAGCAAAATAAAAAAAAATTCTTTAGCAATTTAATATTTTATTAATTATAATTTTTTTCTTTAACATTATTTACAAATATGAATGCTTAATAAAAGTACCTATATATTTTAGTAAATAGTAATTTGTTATACACTACTATTGAAATATTTACTGACCATATCTCATTGAAAAATGAATAAATTTTTAATATTTATGTAAAAAGTTATTTTTCATTAATATACATATTTTAAAATGAATATGTTATACACATATTTGAATGAATATATATATATGTATATTTACATAAAATTTTATGAAATATGTAATTTACCTATGAATACATATTCTTCTTACATATTACAACATATAGGTAAAAACGTAAAGAAATAAACATATAAATGAAAATTACATATATATTTGAAAATTTACATATTATGTATTATAATTTTGTTTTACAAGTTCGAATAAATTCCAGTGTATTTGTAATTACCAAATAAATGGTATTTAGAATAATTTTTTTTTTTTTCAAATTTATAAATTTGAATTCAAATTGAATATTTTACATTACACTAAAATATAGTTGTAGCAAATACAATATGTTGTGACACGAAAATGCAAATAATATATATATATACCAAAATATATATCAAATAAGAACAAAAGGAGACAATTCAATATACGATTTCACTGTATTCATATAAAGTCTTATGTTTAACAGAAAAGTTAGACGTAATTTTTTCAGTTCTTTGAATTTAAAAACTACCAAATTCATATCATACTGTTCTATATTCTTAAAATTCCCTGAAAAATTAGATTCTCAATTACATTACTGTATTTATAAAATTTATGTATTTACATACATTTAAAAAAAAATCCTTTTAAATTATTAATATTTAAATTGTTAACCTTAAACTCTTTATAATAATTTTAATATCCTTATTAGTTATAAAAACAAACAAACAAAAATATAATAAACTCAAAATTAAACTTAATATGCATAGCATCTGGTCTCGAATCCGGTCAGTTAAATTAAAGAAAATGTAAAGAAAATAAATTTTATATTAATTATATAAATATATATGTATTTTTATATAATAAAATAATTTCTCAAATAATTAATTAATATTAATAAGTTTAATTTAATTTTTTTTTTCTTAATTTTTTTTTTCCTATTTCAGAGCTTATGATGGCATCTTTTGATTGTGAGGAACCAAATCAAGCCGAAAAATTAATGTACGATCTAATATAATGTGTTCAAATTATAATAAGAAAAAAAAAATCGATTTAAGTTAATTCTCTTAAATATAATGGTTATATTAAAGAAATAATGAATTAAAAAATTAAAGAAGAAATTCAAAAAATATGTATAAGTACTATAAATGAGTGAAATTTTTCTATTTCTACGAAAAATTTGATCAATTTTTATAATGCTCTTATTTCTCTCTTATTTGTTCTCATGATTTACTTTTTTACATTTTATGTTACAGATGAATGAATAAATTTTTTTATATGTACAATCTAAATACTATATTATATAAATCGTGAAGAGCCATGTAACCATATATTTAAGAGAAATAATTTAATATTTATTTAAAAATAAAAATAAATAAGAAAATGTTTAAAAATTAAATGCAAATTTGTAAATAAGAAGCTTAAATACTTAATTGTTAAGGCAAATTTTGTACATAGTAATAACAAAAAAAAAGAAATTATAATAATTAAATGGTATAAAAAATTATAATAATACCATATAAAATTAAAATTAATTTTTTATGTTACGCCTATAGTAACTATAATTTAATTTCTAATTTTTTTTCTTTTGTATATCCTTATATCAAATTTCCTTTCATATATTACTCGTATGTATATTATATTTTTACTATTGATTTTTCAATTATTTAATATTAAATTTAAATTAGTAAAGGAATTATAATAAACTCTTCTAGTAGATACTGTTAGAAAAATTTTTAGAATAAAATATTGTAACTCGAATGTAAATATAAAAATCATTATTATATAATAAATTAGGAATATTCAAAATATCGGTGTAATGTAACGAAGTACGTATAAGTTAATATGTATTTGGTAAAACCATTAAAATAAGTTACCTATGGAGTAAATTAATGTTATAAAACAAAAATAATTCAAAATGATTTGTATATTTTATTTGTAAAAAAAAACAAAAAAACAAAAAAGAAATTCCGAAAAAGAAAATAACTGAAAACTTGGAGAAAAATTTTAACAAAATAAAAGAAAAATATAAAATTTAAAAAATCTATTGTTTTAATTTAAAAAAAAAAGATTAATTTTACGTTTAAGTGTTCTCCTTAACTTAAAATAAATCTCTTTTGAATTTTAAGTCGGGCCCTAAATGTTTTTAATAATATCTTATCACTTGAGATGATTGAATATGATTAAAAAGTATTTTGCTTTTCAGAATAGAATTACAAAAATTTTACACTAATAGAATACTAGCATACTAACAGGATATAGGTAATACATATGTAATGTACGTTTAAACAAAAATTAGTAGTTTTCGAACGAAAAGCAATTTTTTTTATTTCAAATGAAATAAAAATTTTATATAATGATCTCTAAAATCGAAATTTTCAAAAGAATTTGTTTTATTAAAAACTTTGATACATACGTAAATTTCGCAAAAACAAGACTAATATCTAAACTTAATTTTTAATAAAATACTCATATATAATCCTTTTCAACTCACTTCTTTTAAAAGAGTCTTCTTCAACTTTCAACAAACTTGTAATATTACTGAATCGCATATAAAAATTGACTTTTTCATATTATCTAATTATATTATCTAGTAAATCTAATTGCACTAAACAATCTTTCAATTTAATCCAAGACAAAAGCAAACTTTTCATATTGCTGACTTATTTATTGAAATAAAAACAAATACATATTTTAATATATTTAAAATTGTAATCTTTAATTACTATTAATATAATAATTAATATAACAAAGGAATATTTTTACAGTAGAATTGAACAGTGCCATCAATTTGTCCATTCAAAGCAATCAATGCACAAATACGTTGATACAAATATTAAGTCTATTTTCTTAGCTTACGCGGAAAAAAACTGTTAGCAGAAATGAATCCTAGCTAAACCAAGATTTCTTATTTAATTTATTCCATTTGGCTACATTGACTAGAATGGAATTAACGATTTGTTCTTTATCTTTATTTTGACCATAATAATCAACAAACTCTCCATCAGGATTTACTAAGTACATTATGATTGTATGATCAACCTTAAATCAATTTGAAAAATGATTATAAGATAAAAATATATGTTTACAGGTTAATTACAATATAGTCGTTATCGACATCTCTAGGACCAGCACTGAAATAAACTCTGTAAGCTTTACACACTGATTTAATTTGATCAACTGTTCCAGTCAAGCCCAAAAGTTTTGAAGAAAACTCTTTTACGTATTTTCCCACTATTTCTTTTGTATCCCGTTCTGGATCAACAGTTATAAAAATTGGTTGAATTGTCAATTCTCCTGGTGAGTCATCTGAAAAAAAAAATTATGTTTAACAGAACACTATACTCTTTTAACACATTACGTCCCGTGTGCACACATTTGTGCTTTTCATTGAACTTCAAGAAAATCCCGTGTGCACACATTTGTGCTTTTCATTGAACTTCAAGAAAATCCCGTGTACACATATATGTGCGTTTTGTTGAATTTGAACTCAAACATCTTTATAAAATAAGAGAAAACGCCTTTATAAGATAAGGAGCGAGGTAACGGTTAATTTCAAATTGTTTTCATCTGTAAAGTTAAATAATTTCGTCTGATCTCAAATTTCTCAAGAACTCTCTCACTTGAGTTCTCATTTGTCCCGTAAGGTCACTCTCTCACATGGGGTTTCATTTGCCCTGTATGATCTTTCTTTGTCTATTCTATAGTCTCCCGTGGTATATTATAGCTTAGCACATTTTTCAAATTTGGTTTAAAAAAAACGTTATTTGCTATATAAGAACGATATATTTTTAATTTGCCCCGGTACCAGAGGAAAGTTTTTTAGAAATAACGCCGGGAGGTAATGTGTTAATAAAATATTATGAATGCACATGCACCTACCAATTGCATCAACAACTTTTGACATTTTCTCAAGTTCATCTGGGCAAATGTCAGGACAATGTGTGAAACCAAAATATATAAGACACCATTTTCCCAAAAAATCTTCAGATTTTCTAACTTTTCCATCAGAATCAGTCAATTCCCATCGACCACCAATTGCTGCCTTACCTAATTGACGCTTTCTTTCTCGCATTAGTGCTTCTTCTTTCTCATTTCTAACATAGTACATAAAAGCTAATCCTATTGCTCCTCCAATTCCTATAACTGAAAGACTTTTCCAAGATATGGGACCTTTACCTTTGGAAGCATCCTGCTTATTAGATGAAGGTGTTTGGCCAGTTGCAGATAGCAATCTAAAGTTTTGCCGCATTAATGTCTTAGACGATCCATACATTGAATCTGCAAATGAATTCCGTAGAGATGACACCATCCTAAAAGCTTGTCTGCTAAACATTTTGAGTTTTTCTCAGTAAAAAAAATATTAACAAATTACTATAACCTTATGAAGAGCACTGTAAAAATTAATAATATCTGTAGTTAAGTTAATATTTTTTATTTGCAAAATTACCGAATTTGCCCAAGAATAAAAATCAAAACAAAACTGCAAAGGTTACAATATAATGTCAAAATAAATGTCATTATTCATTTTTATTTTGTATAGAGTTACCAGAAAAATGTAGACTTAGGAGCTACCTGGTGGAAAAAATTATAACTATTCGTATAATTTTATCATACAAAATTGCTCTTGAAATTAACACACATTTCTGTTACACTATTTTTTAATAATTTTAAATACATTATAATAGTTTTGATTAATAATTGATAGTTTTGATTTCATAATATCGAAAACTATATAAATATAGATTAATATAATATGGTTTTTGATAAAAATTGCTTCAAATCAGCAAATGACAGAAAGTGTACGAAGCAGTAAAGCTATTTAGCACATAGAATTACACAAATTCCAAATCAAAATGCTCACCACCTGATTCATTACAGAATTAATTTATTTCAATGCTCATTTTCTGTTATTTTCTGGCTCTATGACAAAAGTTGATAAAAATAGTATGTAATTATATTGTATGAGTTATGAGAAAGCGTCATAGTTGATTTATTTGAAATAAGTTAAGGTTTAATTTTACCATCGTTAAAGATCCGTTAAGACTCTCTTGACTGTTCTCTGATTATAAAAAATCAAAAATAAATGGGTTATGTGAATAAGTATGTAATTACTCGAATAAATTTCTTACACTTTAAACAAGGCTAGTCTATTTAACTTTGTGCCACGCACTTATTCATGAAACAGTGCAAACACATAATAAAAAAGAAAATAATATTGTTTTACTTTACATGCAAAAGTTTCATAATGCATAAGAGTTTCAAATATTAAATTTCATAAATATAAATTTTTAAATATTTTTTTTATTTATATTCGGTTTTCATATTTCGGTCATATACATTATATAATTTTATTTATTTATTTTTTTTTTTCTTTTTAAATATTTTTGCCTTTTCAAAATATCTTATATGCTAAATAATGTTATTCATATACATACATATAATATTTATATATATATATTCATTCAGTATGTGATTTGGAATATATTATGGTATGGTACTATAAAATTTATGACTTTGATAATCTGTGATGTTCATTAATGCAAAATGATATTATAAATCTTTGTAATTGTCACTTCTAACAAAATTACAAGAAAAATTTAATTAAAATAAATGCTAAAAATTTAATTAAAAGTATATTTGTTTATATTATTTTTTATGCAATTATTATTAGCACTGAAAAGACAGACATAAATTAACTTATAAAAAATTTTTAATACATAAATTATAATTTTTCCCTTAAATTTGTGAATCAGTTTTTTGTGTGTGTTTGTTTTTAATTCTACTATTGTCTTATAGTAATCAGTTCTAAACGTTTTATATATTTTTTTTCCATTCGAAAATTCTGTTATATGTTTATGAAATTCTTTTTTTATTTTCCTATTTCACATAATGTATGTATTAATAATCATTACATAAATAATATATAAATTTTGAAAATATAATATATACTTTTATATTTTAATATATATATATATTAAGATATATATGTATATATATATATGTATATATATATAGATATATATATATATATATCTTTATTCATTACTTTAAATCCACTACTTAAGAGATAAAATTAAATTTTTCTGTGAATTTCATACTAACACAATGGGCATATAGTGACAATATAAATTAAAAATTAAAAAATGATTGCAAACATATAAAATCTTTAACATGGTCATAAAACTTCAATAATATATCCCAATACTAAATGTAATTCATATTGTAATATCAATTTATCCGCTACTAAATTTTTTTTGTTAAAACAAAAGTATTTGTAAATTTAATTTCCTTTATATTAATAGAAATATATAAGATTTCTTATTTTTGTTTTTGTGTATAAGAAGATTTAAAATGTTGCTTAAGATTTGACAAATTCAAATAATATACAAAATTAAATTTTGATATAAAAAATCTTATTTTTACCGAGCATTAAATGAAAATATTAAAATAATTAATTTCAAACAATGCAATTCAATTTTAATATATAGTAAATTACTTAAGCAACTTATTAATTTTCTAATTTTTCTTTAGAAATTTTTTTTAAAGAATTACATTTTTTACTAATAATATTTATTATTTGTATTAAAATACAAAAATACTGTATGTACAAATTAATAGCGGATACACAGAAGAATATATTATACAATAAATATAATATATATTATATAATATTATTATTTGAAAATATAAGAGTATAGAGGGGTACAAATATATCTTGAAATATATATATTAATCTTTATATGTATATATTTCTTAATGAGTAATATTTTTCAGTTAAATTTATTTGCTTTTATTTTTTTAATATAATTATAATGTTAATAGAATTGATGTTACATGTTTCCTAATTTTCTGTTATTTTTTTGTTTTTTTTTTTTTCATTTTTTAATTTTAAATGTCTATTTTATTATTTTTATAAATATTTATATTTTGTATAAGTGTATTTTTTTACTGATTTAATTATTAATTTACTTTTTTTCTTTTTGTTTTATTTCAAAGACTACTTTTTTTTTTATTTATTAATTTTTTTCTCTACAATTTTAATATGTATCTAATAAATTTAATATATGAAATCTGCAAAAATATAAAGAAAAAAATATGGTTTGAAGTATACAATTTATATTATATTTAAAATTTCCACTCAAATTCACATTTGTGAAATAATTTTCAATACAAAATTTAATATAAAAGTTCACAATTTAATTTCAATACATTTAAAAATGAAATAACATATTGAATAAATTAAATACATAATGACATGCAATATAATCAATAACAAGATCAAAAAAAAAAATACATTAATTTCGTTATTTTTAATTTGTTATGTAAACAAATCTAATAAATAAAATTTAACTTATTATAAATCAAAAAAGTTTTTGTCCAAAAAGTCTTCTTATCATCAATAATTTAACTTTTCTTACAAAACTTGTAAATTTCAGAGAAGGGGAAAATATTCTAAGACTCTTAATTAAAGGCCTTCAATTTAATTTAAAATTCTAGTAATCAATCAATTAACGCCAGATTTATATAAAATATCGTACTTTTAAAATAAAACATATTAAAACATTATTTTTTTTATAAACGTTTTGTTAAAATTTGCAGACTTCATACTATAAAAAAATAAATATTAAAAATAAAAATTTTATAAAGCGCATCTAAAGTATTTTTTTTTTTATTTTTGCATTATGTTTTTTTTTTGTTTACTTTATTGTGTTATATTAATTTTTAGTCCTAAATAATTTTATATTTTTTTCATTTTTTTTTTTATTAATGTTTCATTATTTTGTAGAAAATATATGTATATATAATGTGTAAATATATGTATAACTTATCAAATTATTTTGTTTTTTTTTTATCTGTTGTTAATAATTACAAAATTAAATAAAAATTTAATTTGAAAATGTATAAAAAAAATTCTAATATTTTAAATGAATTTGAAAAAAGCTTATAAGATTGGTGCCTGAAAATTCATTATGTTTGATTTTATTTTTTTTTATTTTTTTTTTTATTAATAATAATAACCAATTTTATTATAGGCATTTCAAAAATTGCAACATATCTTAAATTCTGGCCAGATTATTTATTTTATATTCTTTTTTTTTTTTTAAAATAAATTAATTATGATTAAAGCCAAAAAATAATACGGAATATTATCACTTTTTATAATATTTAAAAAAAATTTTTTGATTTTAGTTTTTAAATTACAGAAATGTAATTTTGAAATTGAATAAAATTGAAACGCTAAAAAGAAATATAAATAAAATTTAAATTTCATTTTGGAATTACTTGTAAAAATAGTTTTTAAATTGATTTTATTTAATTATATTAATAGAGTAAAGTTTTAATAACTTTATACTAAAAATATAACACATAATTTTCATATATACATGCCTACATACATATATAAATTAAAATTTACATATGTTTGTATATACAATATGAAAATTTAATAAAATATTGAAGTTTTTTTTTAAATCTAAATTTTATTAACTTTTAGTCTCATTATTATTCTATAACAATAAATCAGAAACGTACATATATATTTATTATATGTAAGTATTTACTAATTAAAATAACTGATTAGCAAAGAAAAGAAAAAAAAATTCTATCTCAATAATTTGGAAATTATTAAGTAATTTGAAAACATAGATTTTATTAAAGAAAAAAAAAAGAAAATTGCATTTACTTGTTTTTATTTAAGCTACAGGAACTTTTAAGAAAAAATAGATAATAAATTCCGAATTGATAATAAAGATATAAATTGCATTTTCCTCCATTTTTACTTATTTTTTTTTATTTTAAATTTAACTTCTTTCTGCTTTTAATGATTATACTTTTTTTTTGATGAAATGCATTATGTATTTGCATTAATATATAAATTATGTATACATGTATATATATACATTTCTATGTATATATAGAAATATTGTAAGTTATTTAACTTATTTTTTATTTTGTGTCTATAACTATGTTACAAAAGTTTTGTGAAACAAATTTCTTGTTTATTTTATTGTTATTATTATTATTATTATTATTTATAAAACAATTTTATATAATTCTGTATGTTTCTTTAATTTTCTTATTCTTTTTTGTTTGTTAATTTTAATAGTTCTACAAATTTTCAATTGTTAAAGTTGCTTTATTTTTTTTTTCTTTTTTTTTTATTTGCATATTAAAACAGATCTCTTATATTTTATTTTTGCTATTTAAAATATTGCATTGTGAATATGATTAAAAAATTTGTTTGAAATCTCTATTTACAAACGTATATAGAATTATATAGAATATTTTGTTTTCTAAATAAACAAAATATAACTTTTAATTTTAACCTTTATTTTTGATTTATTTCTCAGTTAAAACTGAGAAAGAAAACTAAATCGCATGCAAAACTTTTATTAACAATTTTGAATTAACTTCATTGAGTTAAATTGAATTATTAAATTAAAAATATCTAAAGTGGAAAATATTTTTTTTTAATTTTCTTACAGATTCTTGTGTCAATTCGAATGTAATTCTAATTATTTCCATGAGATTTCATCTAAACTAATTAATCATATTTTCACCACAATTATTAAATCTTATGGTCTAAAACTTTAATACAAACTCACATAAAATTTAGATTTTTTATTTTGCTTTTATATTAAACATTTAACTTATTTATTCAAAAAAAAAAGAGTAAGAGATAAAATAAAATCAATTTAAAAAAATTAAGAAAACAATGAATTTAAATTTAAACAAAAACTTTAGCTAAGCCATCAGCACCAGCTGATGCTATATAAGGTTTATTTGGATGAAATGCGATATCAAATATACTTTCATCAAATTTTTTACGATGAGCTGTTATTTCTTGTACACATGTTTTATTATCGAAATGCCATAATCGTATTGAACAATCATGTGAACCAGATAATAAATATAAACCATATTTATCTATAGCTAAACTAGTTACTGGTTCTAAATGGGCAACCATTGAATGTACTAATGAACCAGATGTGTTATCCCAAAATCTTATATGACGATCTTCATGTGCTGTTATTGTTATTGGTAATGTTGGATGGCTAACGACTTTATTAATGAACTTACCCGTATTGCCAGACATTTCTTGTGTTGGCTCTAATTTTATAATTTGTTTACCAGATTCCGTATCATATATAATACAATGGGCGCTATTATATGCCACAACAATACGGTTTAGCTCGTCGCGAACAAAATCAACTGAGGTTGGTATACCATCAGCTTCTGATGCGGTATATGTTTGTAGCAATGGCACTTTTGTTGTTGGTGACCATAGTTTAACTGTTCCATCCGCCGAACAAGAAACAATATTTCCTAAAATATATTTGTTTTATGGTAGTCAATTCTTTTTTTTTTTGCTTTCTTTAAAATACCTTTTGAATGATCAACAGATAGGCCCCAAACAGCATCAGTATGTCCCTCAAATGTTGTTTTTAATACTGAAGGATCATAACAATCATATGCATCTATATTAGAGCTTGGCAGTTTCCAGCAATGAATTTGTGCATCTAATCCACCTGAGTAACAATATTCTCCGGTTGTTGACATTGCTAAACATAAAACTGGTCCAGTATGGGCCCTAAATGTATACAATGGTTCGACATCGAGACTAGCTGATTTCTTAGCTTGTACAGTTTTCTGTAAATTCCACAATTTCAACGTATGATCTTCAGAAGCTGTAATAAGGACAGGTTCTTCTGGATGAAATGCTAAAGCACGCACACCATCAAAATGTGAACGTAGTGTATACTTAGCGTTCCATGTTTTTCGGTAGCTAGAATCTTTACCGCTGGTTGAGGGCACCTCATCAGCATCATTATTAACTGTTAGTTGAGCCAAATCACCCAAGCCTAGAGTTGCATCTACTTCTTCATCGTTATTTATTAAATTCCGGCGAGTTGCGTCTGTATTAGCAAAACCTACAAATTTAAAAAAACAATGCAATTATTTACATATTAAAAAAACGATGAAGCCAATATAATAATTTTGAATTGGAACATTCATATTATAAAAAAAAGTATATTATTTTCAAAGCAAATAGAAAGAAAAGCACCTTCTGACAATAGATTCAAATCATTTAGAAGCTCCTCAGCCTCGGCATCAACTTCTTTAAAGAAAGAAAATATAAAAATAAAAAAATTAAAATTAAAAATAAAATATATTCATAAAATTAATCAAAACCATAAAATCTACTACTCATATTAAGAATCGGTATATTAAATATTTAATTCAATTACAACAATGAAAATTTGTTGCATTTTAATTTCAAATTAATTTTTATGGTGAAAGAATAATTTATAATGTCATTTTACGCATTTGAAACTAAGTAATTAATATTTTAGAATATAATGTCAAAATATAAATAGTTAACGACCTTTTTTAACAAATACCTAATCTTTAGGGTAACAAATCTTCTATATTTTCAAGCTCTACAAAATCTTTATAAAAGTAGTTAAAACAATAAAAATGATAAATAATAACAAAAGTAATAATAATTATAATAATAAAATGGCGTAAAGTGAATGAAGGCAAGTGTTAAAATTAAAATTTTTAAAGGTAAAATTACAAAAATCGCTTGAATAATAAATAATATAGGTACTACAAATTTAAAACGTTCATATTTGAAAAATTTAAAACATATTTGAAAAAAGTACACGAACTTAAAAAGCATGATATAAAAATAACTTAAATTAGCTTATAAAAGGAAAAATTTTTATAATCAATGCGATTCAAAAATAGAAATGAAAATTTTTTAAGTAAAATTTAATGTTAATTCACCTTCCACATTTATCATATCTTTACTTTTACGTTTTGTTGTTTTCATGTCAGCATCTTCATTTACGCCTGTGACCATATCTAGATCATCTGAGATTTCATCGTCATCAGACATTTCCACGTCTTGACCCAAAAATTCAAAGTTTGCCATAACCGCTTCTTCGGTTGAATCTAATATGATCCCGTCACTCATTTGCGATTTTTTTGCTGGAGTTCGCCGTCCTTAAATATTTAACGAAATTTTAGGTTTTTTGAATAATTTCTATAATTGAATATTTCAATAAATTTAAATAAATATACCTTGCGATTCTGATGCTCTTTTATTATTTTCATTGCCATTTATATTTGGGTTCACATTTTCTTCTTGTTCTGTATTGTTATTCATTCCCAACAGTGATCTTACACGATTGGCACGGACATCAATTATGGTGTCCGTGTAACCTATTTCTTGTAAATATTGCCGCAACATTTGTCTACCTTGGCGCCAAGTTGTATTCGATACTGAGCTGTATGGTACCTCAGAATCCGGAGCTACGTCACTTCCGATACCAGCTTCTTCAGATGGTGGTTTAATATCATTTAGAGGTGGTGGATCACAACCAAATTTCAATCGGTGAACTTTAACGCGTTCTTGTTTAAGGGCATATTCCAACATTTTAATTCGTCTAATTAAATCTGATTTGACACTTTCTTGCCCTTTTCTTTCACCTAGCAACATGGCAATACGAGCCTAAAATATTGGTTGTGAATGATTACGAAGAAATTAAAATTTCGTTTTTTTTTTATAAATATTTTATACCTGTAATTCTGCTCGATCAACATCCCACTGTGCTCTTTCACTTTCAAACCTAGACCACTCGTGTTGTATGAAATGCAAAATTCCAGGTATGGTATATTGCGGAGTGGTTTGTTGAGTATTATTACCATGTGCTCCTCCGCCATTTCCATCGTCAATTCCACCGCTGTTGTTAACACCACCGAGGCCACCAACATTGGCTGAACCTACTCCAGCCATTATACCCGTACCACCAACTCCGCCAGCACCCCCAACTGGTTTATTATTTATACCAGTTGTCGCCGCCGAATTGGTACCCATTTGGTAAAATTGTTGCTGTACAGGATTCAGATTTGATATAAATTATAATAATTCGGTTGAAAAAAATGTTTTTGTCAATGTTATGACAAATATTTTGATTTTTGGATTTTAAATTTCAGAAAATTATTTTCTAGAAATTTTCAATTAACCAATAATAAACACATCCAATTGAATAGCTAATGCGGTTAAAGCTGTAGTTGCTGCAAATTGAATCAAAACAATAACAATGGCTCCAGCTGCTAACTTTTGCACTAAAACCACCGATTCAATTAGCTCCAATGCTAATATAACAGTTGTCAGTGCTGCAAGAATCGCCTCCAATATGCGAATTAAATTTATGTAACTACTTGTCTAAAAAGAATTAAAGAAAGCACAGTTGATTTTAAAGTATAAGTACATATATAGCTAAATATTGTAATTAATTTATAAATGTTTGTTGAAACTGGATAATTTAAGACACAATTTGTTCTGAGGGTGGTGGAGTGTGTAGATAGTATTTCAATTATTTGATTCATGAAATTTGTCCTAGGTATATACGTACATAAAGATATAGAATATGAAGTTTCTTACTTGATGAGTTAAGCTTATTATAAGATGTCTATATGTGATTTGGAAATCTTAACACTGTAATCTTTACATCTGCATATTATTTTAAAAATCTATAATTGAAATGAAGAGTACTTAAATTGAATTCAAGTTTCCATGTACCCCTGACCTATCAAATCAAACATGTCTGCAATATCAAATATATTCTTATCGATTTTGCACTACAATAAAATTATTTATACCTTTATATTATTTATTTCCACACTTTAATTTTAATCACTTAAATTTAACAGGATTTTTAATAACAATTTCAAACGATAATTACTAAAATACATACAAATTTGCATATACCTACTCATAGATTCTTTTTTCCAACATGGTTTGGGAAAATTTTATCTACCTAAAAATATATTGAATTTGTATACTTGAGTTGTCACTTCAGTCTGACTAATAAAATTAACTATTCAGAACTACTAAATATACTATATTTAAAAGTTGAAAGGCAGCATATTAAAACAAGAAAATTGTATTTTGTCAATTTTTAATTTTATATACTTTTAAAAAACTTGTTTTATAAAAAAAGAAAATTTGAAAGTTTTTTTTCTTCTCTGTCAAATTATAAAGGTTAATGAGCTTTTTATAGGATATCTTTATTCTATCCTTTTTTTACAAAAACACGTTTTCACTATTCAATTTTTAAAACACTAAATTTAAATAACATTTCAAGAAGAAAAAAATTACAACATTTTAAATTATTTACCAATATTTAGAGCATAAGACAAATTTTATTTTTGAACAAAAAACTTTTTACGACAAAATCCACCATTTTTTTCTACAGAAAAAACTTGACTGATAACTATCAAAATTTATGCCTGCGTCTTTATTGAAAAAAAAAACTCAATATGACGCTTCACGTCAAATTTCATTCATACCAATAGACGCTTTCTTCATAGAAAATATTCCTTGTTACGGTTGACGTTGACAAAGTTGACGGTTGGCGGCCACTTCCCACAAATATAACCATTCAGCCTAATGCTCTGTCAAACTAGTATAAACTTGTGCTAAGTTAAAGAAGTGATAGGAATACAGAAATTTCTTATATTTTCTGTTTACATTTCTGTTTTTCCCAAACTCTGATTAAATCGCAGACTTTTTCATATTTGTAAATTGTACGTTACTGGTACATATTAAGCAACGATATTCTTTTTGTACATTTGCATTACAAATTAAAAAATATCGATTAATCGATATTTTAGAATTTGTTATGCAGACTTGTCTTTCCTGGTTGATTTGTCCATTTATCTGTCATTTTAATTGGGTTATATTGGAAAGCTTGTAAGACCAGATATAAACTTGTAATTGGAGCTACTTCTAACTACGATATTGAAACAGAATATACTAGATTTTAAGTAAAATTAAATAAGATAACATCAGTTTAAATAGAATTTCAGATATATTACAATTATCAAGAAAATGACATTATATCATTTTGGAAATTGCATAGCTTTGGTCTATGTACCATATTACATGACATATAAATATTCAGGCCTGTAAGTATATAGGAACTCAATAACACCTATTTCGTTTTTAAAATTGAAACTTTCTTAGATCTGAATATGGAGCATTTTGGAAGTGTATTCAAGCCGGAGGCATTTATATTTTTACACAATTGTGTAAAATGCTTCTTTTGGCAACATTCTTTGATTCCGAAAATTTATCATTAAATGGCTCTTTCAATATTTTAGCTGTAAGTGGAAAGTTGCTTTTGATTAAAAATTTTTTGATATATCTGATCAAAATGAAATTTGAAATATTTTAATTTAGGAATTTTTCCGAAACACTGCTGATATTGCTGATTTATTTGGCCTTGCATTTATTCTATCAAGGATTCCTGGAAAAGGTCATAGTAAATTAATAACAGCTGGTTTGGGATGGGCAACAGCAGAAGTAAGTAGAATGATTTCTAGTCGAAAATTATTACAATTGTTTAATTTACTAGGGAACTTTTCTATAGAAGCTACTATTTCAAGAGAACAAAAAATTAATGCTATTTTTATTTTGTAGGTAATCTTGTCACGAGGTATAATGCTCTGGTCCGGTGCACGAGGCGCTGAATTTAATTGGATATATATACAAAAATGTTTGGAATCTAATATATCCCTTATGCAGCATATTTCAACAGCAACATTAATCTGGTTATTTACACGTCACGATCTTCACAAAAAATATGTTCCTGTCGTTTCTTTATTATTAATAGCAACGGTTTATAAAAGTTTATGGTTGGATGGAGTATTAACTGTGTTGAGTTTGCCGATTTGGTCAACTTTAGCTTTTAAAGCCTTAGTAACAATCTTTATGGGATTTGTCACACTGCATATATATACAGGTTTAGCCCAGCTAATAGGAATTTAGTTTAATACAATATTTTCATAGTTTTAAATGTACCAAATTAAAAGAGATAAATTTATAAATAAATCATGTGTGGCAATTTAAAGTTACTTACAATTTACAAAATTTAATTATACTATATAAGTAATACAGTACATATATATAAAATTAACAATTATTTCAAACATTTGATATTATATTGCATAATATAATGTGATTAGTTCCAACAGGCTGAGTAAATTCAACCATTAAAACTTCTGAAAGGAATCTTGTCACTTATTTGTATACCTGCTACAATATTTGAATTTTGTTCTTTTAGTATTTTAACATAATTTTTAGCTGATAATTCTGAAAATATTTTAATTAATTGTGGGTGATACGAAAAAAAATTGATACTGACGAATTATTGATGAAAATGCTATTGCAGCTTCTATTTTACTAACATTTTTGCACAGTACTTGCATTGAAACAGTTTTGCCGTTTGTAATTCCCAAACGAGATAGTTTCTGAAGCACTGACAGTGGGCTCCAATTTTTTCTTAAAAATAAAAAATTTAAAAAAGTGTTTTAAAAACCTATATTTAAAAAATTAGCTCACTTTAATTTCTTAAAAATTGTGGAGCACTCTTGATCTTGAGCATTAAAATTTTCATTAATCATATATGATTCGATTAAATCTGTAATAAAGGGCTGATCTTTTCTCAAATGACCAGTTGTTGATCTATGTCCATTAGTATTTTGTACATTTTCTGAATTTATTGAAGCTATCATCTCAACCTCATGTAATTGGGCGTGAAATGATGATATGTTCTTACTGGAAGTATCTCGCCTTTTTTGTCGCTTCTTAATCATTACATTAGAATCATCATGATTTTCTTTGTTCAATATACATTTCAAAATGAAAGAATCTGTATATTGTTTTTTTCTCTTCAAATTTTTTTTGAAAAGATTAGCCAATGGAGAACACAATCTTGTAATAGAATATATATGTATATATGTATGTATTTTAAGCAATTTTCATACAGAATATGTTATAAATACCGTATGCAAGGAGAATTCATGAGATAATCACTAGATTTTAATTTAAAAGACCGTTTTGGTACAACATCTTGCAGCGGATTCTAAAATTAAATGACATGAAACTAAAAAAATGAGGGAAACTAGTTGAGAAATTACAAAACATCGAAAAACTGATGTATTATAGACTTGGGACGTAATTTGGTCTATGGTAAATTCCTTCATTTTATCAATGTGTAACCCTATCTTGCGTCGTTTTATCGTTGGACGTTCATTATGTTTATTAGCTAAATTTCTTTCGAAGGCGTTGTAGCTCGGTGGGATAACGTTGTTTTTAAATAAAATGGGAGGTTCCGGAAGCTCCACCCCCAATTGATTCTGAAAAAAACTTGGTGTAATTTTTTTTCTCAAAAATTTTGTATAAATTTCTCACCTCACGATTTGTAGAATTTAAAAAATTGTCAAATTTTCCACTTAAATCTGATTCAATGTTATTATTTTTATCTAAATTGTTTACTTCAAGAAGATGCGTAAAGGGATAATTTCTGAAATAAAATACATAAAAATTAGAGATTTTGCAATATTCTTAAGCAATTAGGAGCTTACGTATTGTTGTTTGAAAATATTTCAGTTATGTTTTCATTTCTTGGTATGTCTAAATTGTAATTATCCTCCACTGAAAAATTATATAAGTAATTGCTATTGCTGCTTTTCCTTTTTCTATCTTCGTTGTAAAAAAAGAATGCTTATTTTCAAATTATGTTTTAAAGTTACAACGTAACAAATAGTTTCATACTTTTTTTTTGTAAATTTATAATACTTAAAAAATCTTCTTTTTCATTATTTGTCAACTCATCAAAATCCTGTAATTCTTCTTCAATATTGTCCGAAGTATATAAGCCACAACCATTTTCAGGAAATTCGTTCAATGTGATATCCTTTTCTTTACATGTATTTAAAATATGATAGTTTTTATTCTAAAATATATTAATATCAAATTTCATATTCAGCAATTTAGCTAATAGTACGAAATATACGAGAAAAGATTTTATGTCGTCAAATTTTTCATTTTTAGTTTCTTCAATCAAATCATCTAACGATTCCACAAATATAGAAGATTTTCTGCTTTGACCTGTAACTTTTATATTATCGTTTGTAAAACTAAAAAAAAAATAAAGAAAAGTTAGGTATGGCAAAGAATTTGAAAGAAACTAGCACCTTATTTCCAATTTATATTGTTGATTGCAAAATAAATTTTTTGTTTCATCTTGAAAATAAAATACAAAAATTATAAATAATCTTTTTTGAAAACATTCAGTGAAATTAAAAAATGTACTAACTGTATAGATAATCCACTTGAGCTTTATGCACCATACAAGTACCCTTTAAAAGATTGCTTACAGTACTCAAATGTAGACGTTTATCTTTCACAGAGTTCCATATTTCATCACTGTAAAAATTGAAATTCATTTTTTTTTTTCAAAAGCAATTATTATATACAATTTTTATTTTACCAAATTTCGGATATTTGTAGAATATTCAGCGCTTGTTCTTCTTGTTTTTGAAGATGTTGAAAGAAATTTTTGTTCATTCCCAACCATAACAAATTGATCCGTTCACTACCAATTCCATCAGGTCCAAAAATAAAATCTAACATTTTTTTTTATTGAAAAATTTCGAAATTATATGAAAATATTATTTTCTGTTTATGTCTTTCAATTTATTTGTTTTGAGTTTATTAGTTTGATTTTGATTATAAATTTATTTTGTGCTTTCATGAATTAAGGTAAATTTGTTGTGAAACTACAAAAACAATTTTCGTTATTGCATAAATAGTTCGTATAACGGTTATTTAATATATCAAAAAATGAGAAAATTGTTAATTTTTCTACCGTTGGGCGTCGACTTATACCTCAATATTTGACAATAGATCACTAATTGAAAAGAACAATATTGTAAATAATTAAGACCAAATTTATTCATCCTTGCATTATGTAATTGCAACATTATGTAATTTTTTTTTAATTTTGTTTAAATTTATTCTCAAAAACTTTGTTCATTGATAATCACCTTGGATCATATAATATAAATATATAAGTATTATAGATTACTTATACTTTTTTTTGTGATGTATAAGCATAGCAGCTCTGTTTTTACAATATACCCTTACAATGAAACAGCCGTATCTGTTTTATAAATGCATAGTAGTTATTTGACAATAAATGTCAGCAAAATCGTAATTTTGCTCCTTCAGTCTGCAATTCTGCATTGAAATTAAAGGTTATGTCGTTGATATATAATAAAGGTTATGAATTTGTTTTTGTTAAATTTTTACCAAAATGTGTTTAAATTTAAAAGCTAATTAATTTTGGTTATAATTATCAAAAATTCAACTGATTAAAATTTGATTTTAGATTAAATTGCGTTTTAATTTTTAATTATGGCCGACAAACCAAGAAATTATCTCGATGAATATAAAATCAAGCAAGATCCATATGATTGTGGTTTAGCTGATGACTTATGGGATTTTGAACAATTTAAAGAAAAATTTAAGATAATTATAATTCGGTGAGAATAAATAAAAATTTCACAATTACAAATTTTTAACTTTATTTTAATTGATAGACATGAAAATAGTGAAATAGAATTTGATATGATAGGATGTCATCCTAGCATCGCAAATGCTTTTCGTCGTATTATGCTTAGCGAAGTCCCAAGTATGGCAATCGAAAAGGTTTATATTTTCAATAATACATCAATTATTCAAGATGAAGTGTTAGCTCACCGTCTTGGTTTGATTCCGCTAAAAGCTGATCCCAGATTATTTGAATATAAAAGTGAAGATAATGAAGATGGTACCGAACATGATACTTTAGAATTTGAATTAAAAGTTAAATGCACAAAACGGAAAGATATTAAAGATTCTTCTAACTTTGATACAATATATAAAAATCATAAAATTTATTCTGGACAAATTAAGTGGTTACCTAAAGGTAAACAAGCGAGTATTTATAATGAAAATAGTGTGGGCCCAATTCATGATGATATTTTAATAAGCCAAATGAGACCTGGTCATGAATTTGATTTAAAATTACTTGCTGTAAAAGGAATTGGAAAGGATCATGCAAAATTTTCACCAGTTGCTACAGTTTATTATCGTTTATTACCAGAAATTAAATTAAACCGTGAAATATCTGGTAAAGAAGCTTTCTTGTTACAAAAATGTTTCTCTCCAGGTGTTATAGGTATTGATGATAATGATTGCGCATATGTTAAAGATGCTCGTTATGATGCATGCAGTCGAAATGTGTATAGATATCCCCAATTAGCGGATTCAGTTACAATGTCACGGATACGTGATCATTATATATTTAATATTGAATCAGTTGGTGCCATGAATCCTGAAGTAATATTTATTGAAGCTGTAAAAATTTTAAAGAAAAAATGTCGAAAATTTATTGAAGAAATACAAGCAAATTAAATTTTAATAACTATTTCACAAATTTTTTTTTTGTTTTTGAAAATTGATTAACTGTGGTAGATAGGTAAGTAACCTAGAAATATTTATCGAAATTTTTAAATAATTTAAATATTGTTTAAGTTTGATTTATGATTTGTGTTTTGTGTGAAATAAAAATTCAATTAATCCACAGTTTCTTAGGTAAGAAGGTTGATTATATTTCGAAATTAAGTAAGTAGTAATTTTAAATAAAAAACTCATATTTGAGATAATGGTATATTTAAATTTATAAATACATACGTACATTTATACAACAAAATAAATTTAACAATCACAATTTTTTCAAACATGGGATGGATAATAATAATAATAATAATAATAACACTAATAGTCGTTATAATTTTAGATTTATAAAATAGATTTTGCAAATATATTTATATATATATAGGCATAATATAGTAAAATAAAATATGTACATAATTTTATGTAGACAAATCAAAAATTAATGAAAAACTTTTTTTTTTTTTAAAATTATACCTACTTGAATTTCACAAATTGCATAAAAAGTAACTTAGTTAAAATTTTTGTAATTTTGTTTAAGTTTAATATTTTAAAAATATAATTAACATAAAATAATAATAATAAATTAAATTTCACACAATATTTTAAAAATTATGTGATATTCTCCTAACATATTTCATCCCTAGTGTCAACACATCATAATCCAATACTTTTATAAGTAGGTAGCGTCTATTTCATTTAATATTAATTATTTTTTATTTCAGAATTTTACATAAATATTTTTATTCTATTCACTTCTTTATATTGGGTGCCATTATATTAGTATAAAAAAAAATCACACGAAATCCAAAAAAAAAAGTTTTGGGGTCGATATTAGCAGTATGATAGGTAATTAATGTAAAAAAAATCAACATTTGAGATTATTTTACTAAAAATGTTTACGTTTAGTAATTATTTCTTTTTTTCTTATAATCGTCATCTTCAAAAATTCTAAATTCTTCTCTGCTATGTCCTCTTTCTACGTACCAGTTATTATCTTTTTCTTTGGATTTTTGCTTTCGAAAATTTTCCCGGCTATCCATTAATTTATCATGCCAATCATTATCATGTTTTTTTTTATCAAATTTATTATATTCTTTTGATTTATCATATTTATATTCTTTACTATTATAACCATTGTTATGCCGATCTTTTTTATTTTGATTTTTATAATAACCATCTTTTTTATCTCGTTTATTTTCCAAACTTGGATTATCAGTTTCGTGGCTGTCATTATTCTCATTAGACTCTATTGAATTATAATTTTCTTTTCCATTTGAATTTTTGTATTCATTATTTTTATAATTGTGAAATTTCTCATTTTGCTCTTTTTTATATTTTATATAAGGAGTTTCATTTTGCTGATAGTGTACTTTAGCATTACTATCAGGTTTACCTTCTTTATTGTAATTGTTCTTTGAATTTGGCACATCATATTCTTCTATTACCATGCATACACCATTAACATATTTTTCGTTGTCTTCGCAAGCACTTGTTACATCTTTCTTTGATTTATTATTGACGTGATATTTCTGTTTACCAGATTCATTTTGATCATTTGAGCGTTCATTTGCTTTTTGCTCTTGCTGATTATATTGATTCTGGTTTGAATATTTTTGATTTTTGTTAAATTGATTTGTATTCAAATTAAGTTGATTAGCTAAATATGTAACTTTTTTTTGAAGAATATCTATTTCAGCTCGTAACAAATTATTATGAAGTTCTAGATTGCCAACTCTTTCTCCAAGCATTGAAATTTCTACTGATGATGTCATATCATGAAAAACTTTAATTTTTCCAATGAAAGCTAAAATAACAACGAACAATGTTGCGTAAAAGAATCCCGAAGCAACCTTTTTTACAGTAAATAAATTTTTAAGTTCATTTGAAACTTGATTATTTGTCTCATTGCTATTAGAAGTTACAATTTTGGTTTGCGAATTGTCCTTTACGTTCAATGAAGTATCAGATTCATTCTCTGTATGTGAATCATTAGAATATAAGTTCTCATTGACTAAAGAAAATCGTTCACTATATTCATCAATCATTTCACTTTCACTAATAACACTTATGCCATCAGATAACTCTTCAATGTTAACCTCTGGTAATTTTAAGTTTTCATTATCTAAAACTTCAATTTTTTTCGGTTCACTTTCTTTATTCTTATTTTTAGAAGTCGAGGTATCTTCATCATCTTGGGGCGGATTGTTTTCTGTAACCAGGGTCCAGCTATCAAATGTTTCGACTGAAGTTGTTTGATTGGAATTTGAATTCTTATTTTCATCCATTGTTCATGTTAAATTATGCGTAATTAATTGCTAATATGAATTATATAAAATATATATAACCAACGATATTAAGCTTCCTGAAAAAGATTTATGAACTTACAATGAAGCTAATAATAGATCAGCAATTTTCTTTCGTACAGGTCATTCAAAAACAAAAAAAAACAAATAATTTCTTACCTTTCGTTTTCTTGCTTTATTCCCTTTGTTTGTTGAGCACGATTTAAAATTCAGATTCTAAATAAAAATAAAGGACTTAAAAAATATAAATAAACAAAAATTTTAAGATTCGTGAATTTGCAAATATACTCAATATAGTAAGCAAAATGAAGTCTGCAAAATCTAGACGCTTAAGCAATGACATTTATGTGTGAAATTTTGTTTTTATTTATTTTCTAGCTTCTGCAAAATTGTTTTGATTTTCAATTGTTCTGGTTTTCATGGTTTAGCTGAATACTTTTTAAATTTTCTTTAATTATTAAATGTTGTTTTGTATAAATGTATCTATGTGATTATGAAAATATTATAATTTGTTGAAATAATTTGATTTTGTAAAAATTGAACAATAACTAATCGATTGAAATAAGAAATTGTTATGTTCCTTGCGTTTAAGCAATTTCAACTCTAAAATTACAATTATTGGCAATACTGTTCTAATTTTTTTCAGAATTTGTCTCACATTTTCTGGAATGTCAAAAACACAAGTTATGATCATAATCTGAAAAGAATCAAATACTATTGAGTATTGAGTTAAGTGCCGGAAAAAAGTTTCAAAAGGAAAACCAAAACAAGAATTTCTTAAAATGGCATCAATTTTGAGGACAGGTAAATTCGTCAGATACTTTGCTGGTTTTACAAGGAATATTGTATTCAACAGCATTAGAGAAACGGAAAATAACTTAATTCAGAATACCCAATGCATTTGTGGAAATTTCACCAGGTAATCACGCATTGTTTTTTACACAGTAAATTTTAATTTAAATCTTACGCAACTTAAATTTTCAACTTACATTTTTTTGAACTAGTTAATTTTACATTTTTATTAGATTACATTTACATATACTTTAAATTAAGTAAGCACTCACATTTATCTTATTATGAAAAAGTAACCTATTAAAAATAAAGTAAAAAAATTGAATAACCATAAATTTTCGAAACACGTTTAATAATATGTATTCAAAATTTATGAAATACCAAAAGTAAATAAATATTAATTTTACTTTATTATTTTAAGTTAATTAATTTCATGTCAGTAGTTATTACCCATTGCGTAATTAAATATTTAATTTTGTATTTTAATAAATAATATTTTAGTAACTATTCGATTTCAACTTCATCTAAAGCTGATCAAACTCTTGAAAGATCATTAAAAAGATTGGATAATGATGTAAGACGTATCGGAAGAATATCCCGTAGGGATATCGAAGAGGTTTTAGAAGAGATTCGTAGTCAAAAGTCGGCAACAAGCTCACAGTCTTTATTGATAATAAGATGTTGTGGTAATTTAGTACCTGAAGAATTACCGGAAGTACGTACATCGCTTGTACAGGAAATTTGGAAAACTTTGAATATGCTGAAAGTGCCCATGGATATTTCTCATTACAATGCACTATTAAGAGTGTATTTAGAAAATGAACATCAATTTTCACCAACCGATTTCTTAGCAGATCTTGAATCAAAAGGAATAGAACCAAATAGGGTAACTTATCAACGTTTAATATCCCGTTTTTGTCAACAAGGAGATATCGAGGGCGCAACAAGAATTTTGGAGTATATGCGCGAAAAGAATTTACCTGTAAATGAAAATGTTTTTAATGCATTGATTTTGGGTCACTCACAGGTAAGTTATATTTAAATTTAAAATTGTTTCTTTTTTGTTTTTTGATTGATTTTTTTCTTTGTAGGCTAATGATATGGAATCTGCATCTGGAATTTTAACTGTAATGAAACAGGCTGGTCTTGAACCCAGTGCGGATACATATACAATTTTATTGTGTTGCTATGCAAAACGCGGGGATATTGATACGATTCTCAAAATTATGGATGACTGTGATGCAAAAGAAATGTATTTATTAGACAAAGATTATCTTGATGTAATCTATGCTTTGTCGGTGAATGGATTTGCCAGCAAAGTAGATCCTGTTTTAGAAAAAATACGGAAGTCAGCTGGATATAATCAAGATGCAATTAGCGTAATTTTAAGATTGGTCAACAAGGGTATTGAAGATGTGGCATTTAAAATTTTGAAGACTATGCCGCGTGGGACGAAGTCGAATGGGGAACTAAATGATACGGGCAACTTCTTTGTCCGTCAGTTAGTAAAAGCTGAAAGACCTATTGAAAACATTATAAAAATTTGCAAAGAAATGACTGATGCCAATCTGAATTCAAAAGCTTTATTAATAGCGGCAGAAGCTAGTCTTGAGTGTGAAAAAACGGCACTGCCATTGTTGAAAGAAATGAAAAGTAAAGGATTTCCAATTAGACAACATTATTTCTGGCCTTTAATTTGCTCAAGCGAGCCAAACGCAATATCTAAAGTTTTAAAAGACATGCAAAATGATTTCGAAATAGTTCCAAATGCTGAAACTATCCGCGAGTATGTTATACCGAATTTAAAAGAAAATAACTACGAAAGTATAGTTGCCATATTAAGAAACGCAGGAGTATCACCCGCAACAGCTGCTTCGTCAGCTGCATTTAATGCATTGCAAAAAAATAATATGAAGGACACTGTCACAATTATGCAAAACTCTAAAGCATTTTATTCACCAGCACTATTCAGAAAACCACTCATCAGTGCTTTGGGACGAACTCAAGATTTTGATTCATATGTAAAAATTGTGCGAGAGATATATGACAGTATTCAGAGATTAGAAAACTTAAATGCCGCTAGTCAATGTAATTAAATATACCGTCCTCAAAATGAATATTATTAATAATTAATATCTATTATTTCACTTTTAGATGACGAAGTAACTGAAGGAGAAGTTGTTAATGATTCTGAAGAGAAGCCAGATGCTGCCAAAACATTGCTAAGTAAGCAGATCAATACGTTAGGCAACATTGTTATGGATGCAGTAGTTTACTTTAAAACTAACCGCGTCGAACCGGTAACTAAAATTTTAGAAGGTCTTGTCGAACAAGGCCTGTCAATTAGCAATCAATACGCAGAAAAAATTCAGGAACGTTTAGGAGAACAAATGACTGCAGAAATTTCAGATTTGTTAGGGAAATTGAGTTCGGGAGACTTAGAGCCAATTGAAGTGATAAAACAAAATCGAAAAGGATCAAAGTTAGAAAATATGCCACTTGATCAATTAGAACGATTTATTGAGAATGTAGAAGCAAAAGGGGAAAATGCTAATAATTTAAAAAGGGCCTTGTTGTTAAATAGTATAAAAACAAAAGATTTATTAAAAATCGAAAAAATAGTAACAAAATTGGAAAATGAAAAATATCCTATTGGAAATGGTATTTACGCAATGATAATCGATTTGAATTGTCAAAACGGGAATCTTTCTGCTGCTTTAGAATTGTACGAAAAACTTCGTAGTAAAGAGCCTGATTTCACGTTAGATAACATAAAGGTAATCAAAATAGCAGAACTGATGGTTAAAGAAAACAAATTTGAAGAAGCTGTTGAATTTGTTAAAAAAAATAAAAAAGATAATTTACCCGAAGAACGTAAGTAAAGGTAAAGATTATAATTTCTTATTGTAACTCAATGTAATTTTAGCCTCTTTTAATTATACAACAACTTGCTGGAGATTACTAAATCATTTGGCAGAACAAGGGGAGGTTGAAAAATTGCAGAAATTTTTTGAAACTTTAGTAGAAAGCAATTACATTGTACCAAATAATGTACTTCTTGGGCCTTTAATTAAAGTCCACTTAGTTAAAAATGACGTTAAGAAGGCTATTGAAGTATTTGAAATCGTTTGTACTAAATATAAGACTACCCCATGGAAAAATGAATTGGCATGTCGTCTTATTCAAGTAGAAGATGCGCAAAATTTACAAAGATTAACAGATTTGAGCACAAGCATTCATGGAGAGGTCAACAGTTTGTATGATTTAGTATTTTCATTTGTAGAATGTGGTAGAATTCGGCAAGCGAGGAAAATTCTCGAAACTCCTGGATTGAGAAATAGACCACAGCGTATCAACTCGGCTTGTGAACGTTATCATCAAGAAGGTATGGTTCAACCGTTAGAAGGACTTGTAGAAGCAACAAAAGATTTAAATCATATTGATAGAAATAACATATTCTACAATCTATTACTAAGCTATTGCAAAGAAGATCAACCAGAAAAAGCTCTAGGTATATATACAAAAGAAATAAAATAAAAAACATTTATTATCTGTTTACGTTATAAATTTATTAATAGGATTATGGACAAAAATGCAAGAAGAAGACATCACACCTTCGGATCAGTTTTTGTTAAAGCTTGCTGACTTTTTGAAAAGCAAAAATGTAGAAATACCATTTGTTGTTCCTTCAACCAAAGCAAAAACTAACACATCTACTTCTCAAGCAACATCTGCAACCAAAACACAGGAACAAAAAAATGAAATTACTTCTACCCACCAAAAGATGCGACAAGCTCTCAAATCTAAAAATATTGATGAAGCTCTAAAATTTTCAAAAGAAGTATCAAATGATAAATTAACTATTGCCGACAAATCTTACTTAATCGAATTACTTTGCCAATCTGATCGCCTCAATGAGGCAAATAAATGTGTAGAGGAAATGCTTGAATCTAAGCAATATCCACTTGTTAGGATCTTTAAGTTTTACTTAAATAAGCTGGCAAATAGTGGGGATATTGTAATGATGGATAAAATTAGTCAATATCTCGATAATGAAGCAAAAAAAATGGTGTCGTTCGACAACAGATATTGCCATGCAAATATAAAATCTGGTAAAACTGAACAATACTTAAATAAATTGAAACAAGATTTAGAATCTGCTCAAAATGATCAAGAAATAGCTAAAGTAGCTGAAAAATTTCCACGTGGGGGAGCTTCAGGAATCTTAGAATCACATCCAGAGTTAATTGAGAAATGTAATTTAATTTTTTTAAGCATATTACACATAAAATTTTAAATCTATTTTTATAATTCTAGTTAAAGAAGTTGCGGCAGCTTATGCTAACAAAAATATTTTGGGTCCTATGAATGTTCTTTGGGTTCACTATTTTGCAAACGATAACGAAACCAAAGCGCAAGAAATTTGGGATAAATATTTAAAATCGTCTCCAAGATTAATGTTTCAAAGAATTCTCCAAATTGCTCGTGAGAAGCAAGATGAAAGTGTAATAGATAAATTAGTTTTAAAATTAAAAGAGAGTAAAGTATCAGAAGGCGCTCTTGGAAATGCTTATAGTTGTTATTTAGATATTTTAAGTACAAAAGAAAAGTATGACGAAGCTTTGGAAGTATTAAAAACTAAAATTCTGGCAGATGTATGTTTGGAGAATATAAATAAAACAGCTTTAAATAGATTAAAAACTGGTATAGAAGCAAGTGGAAAAAAATTTCCGTATGATATACCAAAGAGATCCCCTCATAATGATGATACTTCATCATCAAGTTCAAGTAGTTCTAGCTCCAGTGATGAAGAAGCAGATAAATCAAAAAAATCTACTAAATTGGGCTAGTTTTGTCAAAACCTTTTTAAATTAGTTTTTTTTTTTTTTTATAAATATGTTTAAGCATTTTGTTGTGAAAAGTATTGAAAAAGTTGTATTTAGCAAAAAAGAAATATAAAAATTAAAACAACTTGTGTTTGTTTCGTAAGTGGTTCAAATTATTATATAAGTGGTTATGATTTACCTAATACCTAATGAAACAGAAAATAAGAAACATGGACGTAATATACATATATAAAATTTTTTACTTTAGTTTTATTAGACACTTATTAAAGATAGAGGTACAAAAGTTATAATTTTACAATTAAATTTTAAAAAATTGCTACAAATTAAAGCTATTGACAATGTATGCGTTAATTTTGTCTAAAAATAAAATTTTTTGTTCTTTTTTAAAAAAATACTATTAACTAACGAGATTTGTAACATAAATGAATTAAGTGAAATTGAACTTCTTTAACATAAATTGACGAATCATTCATTAAATTTGTCTTATTTTTTTGAGTTTTACATATTAAAATTTAATATTAGTTTATAGTTAGTTACATTTATTAATATTACAATCTTTGATATTTACAAGAACTCCTCACACCAATCATTTAAACATTGATAACAATCTGATGCTTGTTTTGAACTGGCATTACAAATGTCCTTCATCCATTCTCGAAAAAGTTCTTCATCCTTTTTTAAAATTAAATATTGGCCTAAAACTGTATAAGCCTACAAAATCAAATTTTTTTTTTTTTGTTAACATTATTTTTGAAGTGAGAGGTGATTTTTGACTAGCATTTTTTTTTTAATTTAAACTTAGGCTTGGGAATTATCTAGAACGACAATCTACCATATTTAAAATAACCGTTACGTCATTAAAAAAAATGCCAATCAATTGAATCATCCTCTACGAGCTTTTTTATTTTTTATCTAAATAAACCGGCAACAATTTCACAATTTCTTTGTCTCGTTAAGTTCCTTACATAAATCTTTTCTTGACATACTTATTGTACGTAAAATGTTTTTTTTTTATGAAAAATCATATATTACCTTATCAAACCCTGCAGCTTCTAAGCGACTTCCCAAAGTTTCACCAATACCGGCCAACTCTGTAACCCTTTTATCTCCCATAGGTTCAGCTACAAAATTCTTATGTTTTTGGGAAGTTCCAGACATATTTGATTATTTTAAATATAATTTAAGATTTCAGAATACAAAAATATATTTTATATTTGTTAAAAGACGCTTTTCAAGACACTACAAACACGCGAAAAACAATTCAACTTCTGTTTCTGAATGAAGATTAACGTAAGCAACTCTTGAAAAACAATTTTGACATTTGCAAAATACGAGTAAAGCAACATTTTGAAATATTTTGAGTACAACCACAAATGTGCTGTTCACATTCTCTAAATTTTATCATTTGTTTTTCTGTTTTTTTTAGAGTTAAAAATTCTTGCTCTTTTTTTCGATCAGAATATGATGAGATTGCGCTTATTGTACTCATTTTAAAAAAAAAATTCAGATTTCTAAAAGCTCATAATATTATTTTGATACCAACACTATTTTTTTCGTTTCACAACTTTTGACTTTTCCAGATTACAAAATTTCTTCATTTGATCAGAGCATGCTCTGAAAACTATATTTGAGTTAAATTTACATCCCAGTTAATTAATTTCAGTAAATTTGAATTTTCGATTATTTACGATTCCATTCATAGCTTTAATCTAACAATGCAAACAAGAAACGTTAGGTGAAATGACATTTTGAAACTTTTAAGTTTTCAGTACATTGTTTAGTTTATTGTAGATTTGTATTCCATATAGATATAACAACGTTCCAATAACATTGTTTAAATGTAATGCAGATCAAGCGTCAAACTCTTGTAAAATAAAAACTGGCATGTTTGCGAAGAAAACTTTAGTCTAACTGAACTTTCACATAGGTAAGTTACTGGCAAAAAAATTAATATAACAGTTTTTCATCGGCAAAATGACAAAATTCAGTTTTTAACGGAAGATTAATTTGTAATAAAAAAATTAAAAATTAGTTGCGGTTTATATTAATTATTTTTTTTAATTCATCAAGTTATAAAGTTACTAGTAATCTGACAAATTGAAATATTTCCGTATATTCGGTAATTTTTGTAATCATGTAGCAATTTTCTTCTCAAGTATTTCCCTATGTAAACGCTCTGTAATATACGTACTTGTCAAGCCGAACAAAACGACATCTAAAACATAACATTGTAACTAAACCTTTATAGAGTTCAGTGTCAAAAATATAAAAACACGTGATTGTTTTGACATTACCAATAACTATCAAAAGTGAAGTACATTTAACGCTTTTAGTACAAAGTCTCTAATAAAAATTTAAAAGTTAAAATAAATGAATTATAATTATTATAATTAATTATATTAATAGATTTAAAACGATAAGCCGGTAGATACAACATGGAAAGCGAAAACGATGAACATGAACAAGACTACGAAGAGGATGATTCAAGAGATGAAGAAATTGAAGACAATGATTCAAGAGACGAAGAAATTGAAGATAACGATTCAAGAGGTGAAGAAATCGATGAGAATGATTCAAGGAATGAAGAAAATGAAGAGAATGATGAAGGTTCTTCAGAAAATAGGGTGAAGCTTCCAGTTATCAATCCTCTAGCATATATTAAAAATAAGAAAAAACGTGAAGAATTGTACAAGAAGCTTAAACAACAAAAATCAAAAGAAAAACGGCAAGCTCGTAAACGTCGTGAAAAAATAAAAACTACTAGCAATCCTGGACACACTATTGAAAGTCTGAGGGAAACTGATCAAACCAATATAACTGAACTAAATGATTTAGAAAATGAAGAACTGCAAAAGGAATTAGATTTAGATGAATTCAGTTCCTACTTCGCTGCAAGATACACGCCGAAAATATTTTTAACATTTTCTAATAACCCAACAACAAAGACAAGAAAATTTGGCATAGAGCTTGCAAGAGTAGTACCCAATTGTTTGGTCAAATTAAGAAATCGTTTTTCAGTAAAAAGAATCGTTAAAAGTGCTATTAAGGAGGAATTTACAGATGTTCTTGTAGTAAATGAAAATCGTCATAGGCCAAATGGTCTGTTAGTAATTCACTTGCCCGACGGGCCTACATTTCATTTTAAAGTTAGCAATGTAAAACTTACTAAAGATATTAAGCGTGATCATAGGGAAATCACAAAACATCGACCAGAAGTGATATTGACTAATTTTACAACAAAACTTGGTTTAACTGTTGGTAGAATGTTTGGATCTTTATTTAACCACGATCCGCAGTTTAAAGGAAGAAGGGTTGCAACTTTCCACAATCAGCGAGATTTCATATTTTTTAGGCACCATCGATATGAGTTTAGCAAAGATGGGAAAAAAGCTAAACTTCGAGAATTAGGGCCCAGGTTTACCCTTAAATTAAGATCTATCCAGGATGGAACATTTAATAGTAAAACTGGAGACTACACTTGGATCATAACAAATAAACGGCATGCTATGGAAGGTCGCAGAAGGTTTTATTTATGATATGTTCATAAAAAACTTTTAGCCCAATAAAAATAAAATTAAGCGTATTTTTTACATTATATTTTTGCTGCATTTTTATTTAATTTTAAAAAATAAATGTTTCCATCTTGTAATAGTAAAGAACACATTGTTCTTAAATAAGCATTAAGAAATTTTGTTTTTAAAAGTTGGTATGCAGGTTCTTACCTACCTACCTAACTAGTAAAATATAAATCTATATTATTGTTTTAGTTAACGCAAAACGTTATACCTACATACTTACAAACAATGCTTTTTTATAATTATTACATTTTAAAATACACTTGTGTATACTATTGTTGACATAAAGTATAAAATCAACGCTTTCTATCTCTAGACCGATCTCTATGTTTGCCGCTGTGATGACTACTTCTACTCGATGAATAACTTTCATGTTTTGAAGAGCGAAATTCTTTTCCTTTGCGTCTAAATTCCTTTTCTCTTTCTTTAGCACCACTCACTTGATCTCGTTCTCTAAAAATACGGGATCTGTTGCGTTGCTTAGAATGCGGTGATGATGATGGTGATAAAGATCTTGAATAGTGTCTTGATTTTTTCTTGTTTCGAGATTTTTTGAATGAACGTTTGTAATCATCGGAAACTGAAGCTGATTTAGATTTGGATCTTGAACGGGACCTTGACCTTGAACGACTTCCTGATCTTGATTCTGGAGTTTTTGATTTTGAATGTTTTAATTTAGTTTTAGTTTCTGTTTGTGTTGGTAATGGTAAAGCTCTTTGAATAAAACCACCCCAAGCATTGTGGGATCCATTGTTACGATCAACAGTTGTTACAGCAGGTGGTGTATTTTGTTCTTTTGTTTTGTTTCTTGATTCCATGTACTTTTTTTTTAATTTATCAACAACTTCGTTTAATTTTTCAACATTAGGCTTTTGTCTCTTATAAAGTTCTTCAACACGGTAACAAATATCAATTATGTCACTCTCACTAACTTTAAAAATTCCAAACCAAGGTGGATTGTTGGGCAATGGAATGTCAAGTCGCCTTGCTGTTAAATAAATACATGCACAAGCTATTGTTTCGGGTTGATATCTCATGAAAACATCTGTACGAAGTGAATCATTCATGTAATTCCATGCCATTTGCATAAGATCTTTATGCTTTTCATAACCAAGAACTTGTAAGTACATCACAATTAATTTATGGGGATGTTTAACATGAACGCAAAATCCTAATTCTTTTAGAATTCGTCGTTCAGCTTTAATGACCTGATTCTTCATATTAGTATATGTTTCATCAAGTATCATTGGTAAAATATCTTTTTGGGCTCGAACTTGTTTGATGTGATGAATCACATTAATAACATCCCTGATTCGACGGGGAGCCTCTTCAATTTTCGATGCCAAACAAAGAGAACTCATTGCTGCTGTTTCCATATTATGTCGTACAAAACTTTTTGAGTAATAAAAGCGTTGAAATAATATTTGACCAGTAGCCATTGCTACTTGTGGAAGTCGTAGTAAGATACCAGCTGATTGTATTAATTCGCATCCCAAAATTCTTAAATCTTTTTCTGTCTCTTTGTCCAACCCATCTAATCCAGATGGGGTTTCTTCCAATTTTTCCTCAGGTAGTAAACTATTTTCTAAAGTCAATACTATTTTATTATATATTCTTGGATATGACTGTTTCGACTCCCCCATAATAGATTTTTGAAAATTTATTCTATATGTCCTTTTTAGGTAATATCCTACTTATATGAAATATTATCATCAGTAGCTTCTTTCTGAATATTAAATTTGTAAAATTTTTTGTTTTGCACAGAGAAATATAAACAGCCAAAAATTTGATTATGCATATGCTTATTTCATTTATTTTTGACAAACGTTTGGTAATGTAAATACGTCAATTCTTACGGGTTCGTTTAGAAAAACATCGTAATCGTATGTCATATAGCAGAGAAATATCGTAAATTCTGAACTGTGCTCCTATTTTACACTTCTTATAAGAATGACTGACCTAGTCATTTCCCACAAAAATTATATTCCATTCATTAAAATTAAGAAAAGTTATGAACTCTTATTAATTTAGAAATTTAGATATTTTGAACTTTGTATGTGTGTTTCACGAGCTTTTTTACAAAAATTAACAGGGTTTAACATCTGATATTCAAATTCAAATTATCACTAAAATACAATTATGATAATCACTTACAAAGTATTATAATAACCATTGAATAGACTACGTAATTCTAAGTTGTCTGTTTGGCAGTTTAATTGCACAATTTGAACGTCAAATCTTTGTGTTATTGGTGAGCTGGAATGAAACTTTTCTTTATAATTTTTACAACATATATCTTAAATTTATACAAGAAACGAACTTAATGTTGCAACAAATTAAATCAATAATAAAATCGAATAAACAGCATTAGTAATTCTTTAAAATTAATTAATTGATTTGCAAAAATAAATAAAATTAGTTCTCATGTAAATTATAACACGTACGAAAATTGTGAACATTTATTACGATAAATATTTAATATAATTCAACTGGATATAAAATATCAAAATTATTTCTGAAAATATTGTAAAATTGAAATAAGTATACATAATAGAAAGGATAATATTGTAATTATGCTTTCTTTTGTGATATGAGATGCATAGACGTCGTCATTTTAATTCTGAGTCGGACGAAACAAATTTAACAACAGCTATTGTTGTTGATGAAATTTCGAACGATAACAATTTAAACCATAAACAAAATCCTGACCAATATATAGAAGAAGATAAATATTCGAAAACTTGGAATTTTCGTAATTTATCAAATCGTATTCAAATTACGTCTGGAAACGCATTTAGATCTTGGATCCCATCTGTTGTTAATTTTGATCCAAGCAGCGTAACAGCAGCAGTAAAAACTGCTGTAATTGGTAATCCACAAAACTCTTTTGAAAACAGTGAAAATTTAAACCACGTTAATTCGAGTAGAGATTTATATTTGGAAGAAGAAGAAGAGTTTGATAAAAGTTCCGTAGAAGTTATGGCATCGCGAGATAGAACTGGAGAATTTGGCAATGCCATCAGATTATTACAAAGCAGAAATATATCAAGAGCTGTTAATATAAAAGATCCTAAGAAAGCCAAACAAATTCAAAGTTATTCTGAGTTTATGATGGTAGCGAAATATGTTGGAAAAAATATAGCAAGTACATATGCAAAATTAGAGAAACTCACCCTCTGTAAGTATTTCATTAGTTAACTTGTATTTTTAATTAATAATTTGTTTGCAATTTTAGTGGCTAAAAAGAAAAGCCTTTTTGATGATAGACCACAAGAAATTCAAGAATTAACTTACATTATTAAAGGTGATTTAAATGCTTTAAATCAACAAATTGCAAAGTTACAAGATATTTCAAAGGATCAACGTCGATCTGTAAATGGCAAACATTTGTTATCACATTCCTCAAATATGGTTTTAGCCTTACAGTCTAAATTAGCTTCAATGAGTACAGACTTCAAACAGATTTTAGAAGTTCGCACTGAAAATTTGAAGCAACAAAAAACTCGTCGTGATCAATTTGTTCAAAATACTGCTCCTTTAAGGCAAATTGTGTCTCCCCAGGTAACAAAAAATGGTGGTAGTTTATTGTTGGCTGATGAACAGAATAATCAAGTTAGTATTGATATGTCCAATGATGAAACAAAAGCATTAATACCACAACAGAGACAGGAAATGCTACTTTATGATGAAACTGATAATTACTTACAGCAAAGAGCTGAAACAATGCAAAATATTGAAAGCACTATAGTTGAGTTAGGTGGCATTTTTCAACAATTAGCTCATATGGTAAAGGAACAAGAAGAAATTGTGGAACGTATTGATACAAATATAATTGATGCTGAATTAAATATTGAAGCAGCTCATGGAGAAATTTTAAAATATTTTCAGAATGTGTCTAAAAATCGTTGGTTAATGATTAAAATATTTGGTGTATTAATATTCTTTTTTGTATTCTTTGTTGCGTTTTTGAGTTAAAATTTATAATCAAAATATTTTAATTGTTTTTAAAATCTTTATTAAATTACATACATATATAAAGAATCTGTAGTTACAAATTTTTATTTAATCTTCACATTAAAAATTTTATTTAAAGATTAGGTTAACTAATTTTTTGTTTTGCAAAAATGTATTATATAAGTAATTTGTGCTTTCATTCATGTTTATTCAAAAATTTTTAAAATATAGTTAAAAAAAAATTTTTGTGATAAAAATATTGTAAAATTTTCAGGGTAATGAAAAATAAAGATTATTTAGGACATAATATTTTATTTGATCAGTTTTATTAGAAATTAATTTTCGTTTTGTGATTCTAAGGATTCAACACATATCCTAAATAAGACTATTAATAATAACACAAGTTTTTGTAATAATAAATAAAACCAATACTCTTAGTTATTTCTAATGAAGTAAGAATAGTGTAACTTTGCATTGCACATCAGGTTCTCCGTAGATGGACATTTGCTTGTTGATATTCTTTTATAAAATCTTATTTTATCTTTTTTATAACAATAGATTTCACCTTTGCAATAATTTCTACTCATAATTAATATTATGAGCGTAATTGTACTTGTGAACGTGAATTTGTGATATAGTTGAAAAGTATAAAATAAGGTAAAATTTTTGATATAACGCAGTTAGAGGAAAACTTTATTTTAAATACCTGTAGATATTCGATCTCTTCATACTGAATAAATACTTCAGTAAATGGAAAACTTAAAATGTCTAATGAGTGCACGATTGTATTCCCAGAATCATGGTTTGAAAGATCCAAGAATGTAAGAATATACCCCTACATGTTTGTGTTATATGTATTTATAATTGAGGAAATAATTTTTGAACGTTTAGTTTTTAAAAGTACCTACACACATTACTTATAAATGAATACGATGTAAATTTTTTATAAACAAAAATTTTCATCAGTTTATAATAGTAGAAATGTTTGTAAATCTCATACATGTCTTTTAACCTTTTCTTTATAAATTTAAATTAGAAAGACTTTATGTATATTTACCAGTCCTAAATTAAATATTTAAAATATTCAAAGCTTACTGTTTAGTCAAATATGGAATTAATAAACATAATTTCACTTTTAGAGATTTTTGTTTTTGAAAACTAAGCAAAACGAGTACATATGTATGTATTAGAAATTTTCTTTGTTTCACATATTCACACAAATGATTTCGTTTAAAATAGAATAAGAAGTTACCATACATACATACATAATTTTATCCATAATTAAATGTATAAATTATTTTTTTTATTAAATTATTTCTATATTAATTTATGTTCTATTGATTTAAGGAGAATTTTAGTTTATATTTAGTGGAATATGTATATGTATGTATATACAAAAGTTTCAAATATTTTAATATATCTAATTGCTATAATGGGGAAAAGAAAATTTTTTTTTTTTTACAAAAACACTGTATTGATCGATAAACGGTCTATTCTAAAAATAATTATAATTAATAAGTTTATTAGAATAAAAATAACATTAAATATTATTAAGCATATATACATGTTTGCTTATTCAAATATACTTTACATATAGTATACGAGTATTATCATGCATAAATTAAATGAAAAACAAGAGCTATGTATAATTAGAATTAATTTGAAAAAATTAGAGGAATATCAAATACAAATTGAAAACATCCTATATAAAATCTCGAATAAAGTGAAAGTAAATATAGTCGAGTTGAACTAACGGTTTGTAAACAAGCAAAGATTGTTAGATTGTAAAAAATAATCTGTTACATTATTTAAAATAACCTTATTCATGTACTCGCAGTACCAAAATATTTCAAATGATTACATTAAATGTTTTACATTAAATATATTTAATGGTTAATTGTATGAGTTCAATTATATAAACAACAATTATATTTTTTGTAGTTATGTTATTTACGTTAGCTTTCTATATTTATAGAAATTTGGACAAGCTTGGTGTTTCCGAAATAATAAGGACCTCAAATTTTATAAATTTTGGGAAGCGATAACGTAAGAGGAGATGGAGTTGGATAAAATGTTCTTTAAACGAAATTAACTATTTTTTAGTATTAGAAACTACTATTATTTAAGATTCCTGCAACTTATCGTTTATATAAAAAACAATAACGGTTCCGTTAAAATTAACGAAAATTTTGTCATTTCAATGATTAGCCGTTTTCATTTTGCCATTTCCATGATCAGATACTTTTCTACGTTTGTAGAATTTAAATAATGTTTGTAGTTTCGTTATAATAAATAATCAAAAAATTGCAGTTTTTAAAGTTTATAGCATTTCACGACGGTGGAGGAGTGGGGGGTGAATTTTCTTCTACGGACAGATGGACAGACACAGTACTTTTTTTAATTTTTGTTGGAAATCGTAAATGCCATGTACTTACATACATAATGCAGAAAAGTGCTGATTCTTGTGAAAAATTTTTTAAAAGTTTTTTGAAAAAAAATTTGGAATATATGTATGTAAATATAATTGCAAATTAATAACTGAATTAATTTATAATAATAATATTGTATAATGTTATGGTTATTTTAATAATCAGTATGAATAAATGTGTTCTAGTAGAGTTAAATTGTGGGGTATTGTTTAATAATTTCTAATTTTGGTTCTTATATAATAAGCTAGCCTTGGAAAATATAAGACTTCTTTACAATAGGTAAAATTAAAATTAATGGCTCATTTTATAAAAAGAAACTAAAATTTTTTTTAATCTTACAAGAATATTTTTGTTTTAATTATTTACATAAATATTCATTTACGATATTCTTGTTATTCAGTTATGAGTTTTTTCCAATATTTCATTTCATAATGTTTATTTTACTTAAATAAAATTCTTAAAATTTATATTTAATTTTATTTATGATGTATTTATGTATATTTTTTTTGCTTTTAAAAGAAAATAAAACCGTTAGTTAAATTAGGAGAAAAAAATCAAAGTTGTTGTCATCGCCACTTTAACCACTACCATTATTAGCCTTACTTTGATATATAATTAAATTGATATCTCCCTAAATTCTCACATACTGTAAATATAAACATATAATGTATGTATATTGATATGTACATATAGATGTTTTTAATTGCTCTCCCATATTATACCAGTTACTATTTATGTACATGCATTTTATATCCTTCGTGTAATACCTTCTATATAGGTGTGTACATTTGTTCGTAAGTTAATGAATAACAAATGTATATATTAATTTTATGCTTTATCACCTGGCTTGGAAAAGTTTTCAGTGTTGTTTCAATTTTTTTTTTTGTTTTTGTTTTTCTTTCTTATATTATGTTGGTTAATTTAATTACCTTGTAAAAAAGGCTCCAATTAAATTAGAACATGCTTCAATTAATTTTTGTATGTTATGATTTCTTATTTTTTTTTTTTTGTTTTTTGAAGGGAAAATGGATACAATGTTATCTACTTATATGTATGTATAAGCAAAATAAGTTTATGTAAAGAAAAAAGATGATAGACATAATGGAGTGGGAATATAGGGTCCTTAAAATTTTTATACATATAAAAAACTTTGTTGTATATTTAGGAAATATTTAAAATAATTTATTTTTTATTAAAATAATGTTCGTTTTTTTTTTCTTGTTTAATTTTAATGGTGTTCTTCTATAATTTAATTAGGTAGGAATGAGAAATAAAATTATACGTATATGTATAAAGCAAATAATAAATAAAAATGAGAAACTTAATAAATTTAATTATGTATTCATATATACATACATATAGTGAGTGAGTGAATTAACATATATGAATAATGTGATTTATATGGTATATATGCAAATTGTATTTTGTATTTATATATAACAATGGTATATATTATAACTATTAGTCGTTCGTTGAATAAACTTTCAAAAAATACTTATTAGAATGCTAAAAATTTCATTTCTGATTACGTTCATATTATGTCTAAGTGTACACTTTGAATGGGAGTCGTATATTTTTTTAATGTACAAAATTAATAAAACGGTTGTGTATAATTTTCGTTAAAAATATTTTGTTTAATCCCACCATCTTCAATAACTTTACGAAATACTCAGCAACAATTGCACTTTTATTAAATACTATAATTTCATTTAAATCGAATTTCATAAAACTAGCGAAGTAAATTCAAGTCTAAAAATATATAAATTAATTAAAGTTTTGTAAAAATTATTAGGTATAACAAATTAATACCGTAAAAAGGATATTGTTTAAAAGATTGCATAAAACTGACGAAATATTAATGACTTGGCTGGCTTTCTCAAATGCACAGTGTACAATAATACATGCAGTATTTATGAAGAAATACACAATAATTCACAATAATAACTTTTTAAATTCTGAAATGAAGCAAAAGGTGAAAACAATTAATAATTATGTATGTATGTATTTATGTATTTACATATATTTCAAAAATTTTAAGTTTTTTAAGTTCGAGTATAAAAAGTTCCTTTTGCTCTCTTTAGAATTTTGTTATACGATAATGGCTTACTGAGTATTTTCGGAAAAACGGGAAATCATTTCGAAATTTGATTTTCAATTCCTTTATAAAATACAAGATTGTTTAATCTTATAAATTATTGTGATTTTGTCTGAAAGACCGGTGTTGTTCTGACTGTTCACTATTCTTATGCTTCGTTCTTATGTATATTAACCTCTTCAATTGCTTTCTCTCATTAAAAAATCCCATAAAAAGCTATGTATATCTTAAACTATTTTAAAATCAAAGTGATCTTTTATGATAATTTAAGAATTAAATTATATAAAAATAAATTTTTATTTAAAGATTTAAATAATTTAAATATTTTTATTTTTTCCACATTACAATTATATATAGGAATTTAAGAACCAATTTGACAAAAATTTGTTCATTTTATATTTTTGCACTTGAAATATGACACCAAACCGACAAAGAAATAAAAAAAAAAAACAAAAGAAACAAGACAAGAATCTTTATTATCCTTGTTGAATAATTTGAAAAAGAAATATTTTAAACTATAATTTTCGAATTTGAATAAAATGTAATGGAGGGAGATTCAACTAAAAGCTACCCACTAGAAATCTATAACGATGGAGCAAAAAAGTCATTGAAGTGTCTCCCGTACGTAATGGTTATTTACGTACATACATACTTACATATACACTTACATATATAGTTGAATAGAAGAAATTGCATTCAAACAATTTCATTGAATAATACTCTTTTACTGTTAAAATTCAAATACAAATATGAATCATACCGACCATGAAATTTTTTAAACAT